TATATATTGTGCATGGGTCTCAGTGATCCCATAAGACAGGGCTGGACAAATCCTAGGAGCCAGGTCGCCGGTGCTCTCTAAAAATGACTGCTGTCCATAACCTTTGAGGGTTTTCTCTCGTTTTCATCAATGGAGCTGGCTCCTAAAGAACAATTCTGCTGGATCCCAGATTGGACAGACTGGCTCCTGAATAGCATATTCGTTGTCCACCCCTTCCATAAGGTTAGATTCAGTCTGTTGCGGTGCCTGAAAGAAGAACTATTAACCCCTGCAGTGGGGCTACCTCTAAACTGCAAGGGTTAACTTTAACTGCTCTTTTTTGCCTAGGGTTAAACAAAAAAAGTTACACTTAGCCTATTCTCTGAGCTGGCAGTGCTGCCTCCTCCTCCACTCCAGCGATGGTATTGCCCTCGGCATCCTCACGTCCTATACATGGTATTGGACGTGTTGACTCATAAGGCCTTAGACTGCTGCACCGGAGGGGGAGACAGGCTGCAGGAACCGGTCTAAGAGCAATCCGGCTTAGAAGATCGGGTGAATATAGCTTTTTTTTTTTTTACTCTAGGCAAAAATCAAGCAAACGTCTGTAACACAGAAGACCCCAATGTATGGTAGGTATTACCATGGTGTGCTGTATCACAGGTGCATTGGTAAGGTGCGTTTGGTTACGATTAATAATTATTGTCACCTCAGTGATCCAACGCCCATAAAGTGGCTCAGCAATGTGAATCTTGAAAATAAAAGGTATAGATACAGCCCACATGGATCAGACTGTGTTGTGTTTATTAGTGCAATAGACACAGGAGATATATTGCCATCAAAACCCCTTCACTAATATCAAGATTTACTGTGCACACGTTAAAAATTGACAACATGTATCAGTTAGTACAGCAATGACAAACGTGGGATGTCTGGTCCTGCATATGTTTGGTGATTACTTTGTTTGTGAACAGTGTGACATTGTCTAAAACAGCGGGTTGAGGGATCGCTGATTGCAGCCAGTGTCTGATTGTGCTTGGATGGTGTTTGCAAGACCATTTAAACTTACCATGTCAGTTAAAAAAGGGCCACCCCGTAAAAAAAGAGCAAGTCAGCCTTTCTGGCAGTCCGTCCTCAAACTCTGGCAGTTTGCTGGTCCTCGGCTGCTCTTCCAGTTGCGTTGACTGCCTGCACCCAGGGCTGGCCTTAGGCCTTTAGGCGCCCTGTGCGAGAAAGCTTTACAGTGCCCCTCAGTGACCACACCCCTCAGTGGCCACACACCCCGTAACCACACCCATTTCCCCCAATATCCACACCATTTAAAGACTCCTATTTTGTTAAGCCCCAAAGAAACATATTAAAAAGTATGATAAAAATAAAACTTTTATTTAAAGGTATTAAACTTGTAGCACAATATAAGTATTCTTATCATATAAAACAACAGAAGGTAAACAATAAATGTGAAACTAAAATAGAGTCTATAAAAATAAAGTCTCAGGTTGTCATGCCGACCCTTTTTTCAAGTAAGTGTATCTAGAAAAGTAAAAATAAAAAACAGAACACAAAACCTAGACTACATGTAAAATTAATGAATTTGAGAGGGAATGATTAAGGACCACTTAGTAGAATTTGTGCGGGAAAATTACAAAATAAACGACAACCAGCATGGGTTCAGGAAGGACCGTTCCTGTCAGACTAACCTACTGATTTTTACGAGGGGGTAAGTAGAGATCTGGATGGAGGGATGTCTGTGGATGTGGTATATCTGGATTTCGCTAAGGCTTTTGATACGGTACCTCAAACGCTTACTATACAAGCTAAGAGCTATGGGCAATGTGCCCCTACCGGTCCCCAGTGCTTGGTGTATGAAGATTTTATCCAAGTGATTGGTTCATTGTAAACAGGCATCTTTTAGGCCGCTTTAAGAGGCGCTCATCAGGAGGGGATCTGTGCATGGATCTCCTCCTGATCGGTGCACTATGGATCAGATGTCACTGCTGTGACATACATGTCCGTTCAGTTTTTTTGACATCTTGCAATGGAGGAAAGAACTTAAAGTGACATTAAACCTTCATATTTTTTAACATAAAACAATACTGTAATGTGTGCCTTACTGTAATCCATGGTAGTTCCCCTTTTCTTTGCTGCTCTTCCTTTTAAATCCTCATGTCTTCTCATGCTCTGCAGAACTTCCCTTTTCAGCTCAGGGCCTCTTCCTGTAGTGCTGGCTCAGATTACAAACCCATACAAACGGATACACAGACACCGTGTATCCATTCCTGAGACAAGGCAGTCTGCTGCAAAACAGAAGTTCTGCAGAACATGAGAACAGATACAGATTTAAAAGGAAGAGCAGTATAGAGAAGGAAAACAACCATGGATTACAGTAAGGCGCACATTACAGTATTGTTTTATGTTAAAAAATCTGAGGGTTTAATGTCACTTTAAGCTGCAAGACCCCATGTTTTTCCAGACCTGGCCTTAGTGAGAGGTAAAGCTCCATTCACACCTAAGCGGCTGTCTACGCGTATTCGGCTGTACAGATAGGCGCAGAGCCGCTGTAAACCCAGAATACAATGCACTTCAATGTGCATCGTTCATAATCCAAGAGCGATAATCTGGTGGATTCCGCATGTTCACGGCTGTCTAATAGCCACAAACGAGCAGCATCAGTGCGGATTGAAAAATATTAACGTTTTCGTCCCGCACGGTCTTCCGCGCGGGGACCACAAACGCTATATGTGAATGCAGCCTAAGCGTGTGTAAACGGATGCCCATCCATTTAGACCCAGCTGCTCAGACTTGCATTGGGCATCTGATCAGGTCCACCTGAAAAACTTGACAAGCGGACCCAATCAAACCACTCGTGTGAACGGGGCCTGAAATGAAGGGTTCATGAACAGGGATAGCTGAACTCATACAACATAAATAGGAGAGGCTTACCACTAGCTCTGATAGCAGTTTGGGGCCCATGGCACCTTTCCTTGGTTGACCTGCTCTAATTTTCCAGCCAGGCTAGAGTCCCTGTGCCCTCTGGGTACAAAACAGTGTGTGTGTGATCAAAGAGGGCATGGTTTCCTGCGGTTAATGGTGGTTAGTGGCAGTCTTCATTCCTGAGGGCATATTTCCAGCTCTACCAGTCTTGATAGGCTGCAACTTGCATTAAAGGAGGCTTGTGGCTCAGTGTGGCATACATTTTGGGCTTCTGGCTCTTGTAGATGTGGAGCAGCGCAGTTTCAAAGTCTTTGGAGAGGTGGCGGTCGACTAAGGAAGGGTGCCCCAAACCTCTACCAGAGCTAGTGGAAAGCCTCCCCTGGGTGTTACCCTGGGCAAAGCCCATGTATCGTGTTGAGCCTCCATAATTGAAAAAAAACTGAAATCCAAAGAATGAAACGGGCAGGCCAGGGACAGTAAGGCTGGGAAGTAAAGAGCCAAATGATTCTGGAGGTCCTCCAGCTGGGCAATAAGGCAGCCTCTGTTAAACTTTTAACAGCTTACAATGCTCAGGAGTCAGGAGCTCACAGTATTCAGTGAAACCAGAGTAAGCAATAGAAGTCCAGGAGAACTGTGCAAGACTGAAGGTAAGGCTGGAGTTTAACTTTAGGCATCATAACCAGATATAGAGACTATTTATTAATGTCATGTCAACTGAAACACATTTAAAAACACCACCACTATGCATAGAATGCCCACTGGCATGAACAAATGGCAATGAACCTGTATATCATCAATTACAAATTCTATATACAGCACACACCTCCTTCCCATGACTTTGAAACAAGAAATGTCACTAGTGACTGTCACTTGTCTAGCTAGGTCAGTTTTTAGGCCACTTATTTTTTGCTTTCCGGGTAGAACAAAATCAAATGCATCTTTCACTTAACAGAACCTTACATGAGCCAGTAACCTGTCAGATGCCAGTAACAAGCTGACCCCCTTACTTAACCTGTCTGTTAGCATCAGGAGTCCTTGTCCATAGAGCAAAAAAGCCTGCTGAATGCATCCAATACATGTATTGATGGTTATCTTGTTTGAGAACAGCAGCTCAAACGAGTGCAGTAAACATATAAGGTGGTTATAACTAGAGATGAGATTTAAAAGATGGATACTTAGTGGCATCAGTAGATACTGCAGAAA